AAAAAAAAAAAAAAAAAAGAATGAAACTGGGGACTGGAGCTTCCCTACCAAGAGACAAGCACCCACAGGACCTGTCTGGGCTTATGGCCTCCTGTGGGATTGTCTTTCTCTGTTGCTCTTTTGTTCTGCTCAAGTATGAGTATCACGTGGCACCTGGCCAACCCCAGCACTCTATCTGTCCTTCCCGTGGAGGGGGCATTCCTTCTGTTGTAGCATGAGGGAGTGTGAGCAGACAAACCCCCTGTGTTGGCTGCTGGGAGGTACCAGCTGACCACGGCGCACTGACACCCACTGTTGTCCCTTCCCTACATAAGTAAAGCATTGTTTTGTCCAACGCTTGATTATGTGGTGTCGCCCTTGGCGACTCTGAAACCAAGATCAGTGGGCAGAAGCGCATAGAGTCCTCCTCTGGGATTGGTAATTGGTACACAGCATCCTGCTTAACATTAACACCCGCCGGCTGCCCCGAGCTAGGCCTGGTTCCGACAAACGGGGATATCTAGGATGGCCCTGCTTTCCGCCTCCACGGACTGGTCACCTCAGGTGCCAGGTCGGACGGAGGCCCTGGGCCGGTGGTAGGGGCGTCTCAGAGCCTCACAGCCCACAGAACCGGCGTCGTCTGAGAGCTAAACAGATGTGACAAACTGGCCAGCACGCCCCTGCCCGCCTCCTCGGCCACGCCCTCTCTTTCCCTCACGCAATCCCTGTGCGCCCTCCCTGTCCCACCGCTCTCGCCAAATCGCCGCGCTCGTTTCTGCAGTCCGGTTCCGTCTCCTCCCGCGCTCTCCCAATCCTCGTACGTCTACCTGCCGCTCTGTCCCGCCCTTCGTCCAACCCTCATCCAATCCCCGTGCGGCTCTGCGTCTGCGCTGCCATGCCGCTGCCACCCAGGCCCTGGACGCATCTCCGGCAGCGGCGGGAAACATGGAGGACCTGCTGAGGCGGGAGCTGGGTTGCAGCTCGGTCAAGGCCACTGGCCACTCGGGGGGCGGGTGCATCAGCCAGGGCCAGAGTTACGACACGGACAGCGGCCGAGTGTTTGTGAAAGTGAACGCCAAGGCGGAGGTCAGGCCTCCAGGCGGGCGGGTCCTCCGGGCGGGCGGGCCTGGGGTCCGCGGGTTTGTCACTGCTTAGGGCGTGAGCGCCGGCAGGTGGCACTGAGCGCCCCCATGTCAGCCCAGGCGGCGTCCGAGTGGCTGCAGGGAAGGGGCGGCGGGCCTCGGCACCGGGCTCCTGTGCGCGTCTACTCCGGTGGGTGCGCGCATGGGTTTCCGGTGGTGGTTGTGGCCACGCCTATGCGAAAACCCTTTAGGTTGGGCGAATTTTGAACAAGGACAGGTGAGGTAGTAGGAGCTCCCGTCTGGAAGGTATTTGAACTTGCAGAGATCAGAACCCTTTCTGAATTGTCAAAAATAACGTAGCCCCTCACTCCACTCCGTGTGAATTTCGCGTGCCTTCTTTACCAGGTTTAGTTGGGTCGGTCCAGTGCTCAAGGGGAAGGCGTGTTGACTCCACTAGGTAATGAGCCCCAACGAGAGTCCGGCAGTGCCTTCTCAAATGCGACCAAAGATACTTACTCCAGGCCAAATCCTACATATCACACACCCTGTCGATGCTTTTATTCTTAGAATTCATTCTTGCAGTTTTCATTTTATTTCCAGAAGTGAATCCCATCTTCTGTGATGTGGGATAATCTCAGTCCGAAAATATGTTCTCTCAAAACCAGCCTCCAACTCTTTGTTTTACAGAGATCAGTTATGTTCTACAGCAGCGGTCCCCAACTTTCTTTTTTTTTTTTTGGCATCTGGGACCAGTTTTGTGGAAGACAATTTTTCCACCGA